AGTTTCAAGCTGTCACTGTCAAATTGACCGATTTTGACTTTTAAAAGTTTTACTCTAAATTGTTATTTTGTGTGGTTTTGGTGTGTTTGAAGTGTTAAAATCAACATTATGTAGTTCCCCAATTAGTTTAATCATGCACAGTGTAAATAGTTAAAACAATAACGGTAAGTTTAGGTTTATTCATAATAATTAGGTTATGTTGATTGATATTATTTATTATTTGTGACCTTTATTGATTATAATTAATATAATTGACATTCAAAATTCTATATTAGGTGTTAATTCGTGCATAAATTGTCCATAATCTTATTCAAAATAATTAATTGGGGTTATTGACTATAGCAAGCATAACTAACCTCACTTAATTAATCAAAACAAAAACAAATTAAAATAGGATAAATTATCGTTTTCTTCGCGATTACATACGATAAATATATAATATTTGATCTTTTTAGTTAAAAAAAATTCTCTATTATTTTTTAGATTAAAATATTTTTTATATGCCTCTGACATTAAGGGAATGGAACGGACTCGTTCCATCAAACTATCAATCACGTCATGAAAAATACTACTCTGCCGTATAAAAACAATATATAGTACTTCAATTATCTTTATACATCTAATTCATACTCATTCTCTTTCCATTTTCTTTCCAAGTTTCAAGAAATGTCAATTCCAATGTTCAATTTCTCTCTTTCAAATGAAATTTATAAAAAAGATTCTAATGCGCCTGACAATCAGAGAAAGATGCCAAATCTCGTTCGCAAAGACGATCTATCTCAATACATTAAAATGAACTTCTCTTCCCTGTTCTCCTTCCCAGTCTCTTTATAACCTTAAACAACATCGCTTCTAAGAATATTGACGTTGACGATGTTACCGCCTTTTAATTAAACTTCAGATGCCGCTCTATTCGCTACTTTAATTACATTTTAGTGTGTCTCGTTATTTATTGTGTTTTTTGTGCGTTTTATGAGAGGTGTACTATAATTAACGAAATAATCGTTATAGGATTAAAGGGGTTTTTGGTCTTTGGGAGTTCTTTTTATGTTTGATCACGTCGCGTGTACAAAGTAGTTCAACTACCGCGGCCCATTCAGCATGTTCACGAAAAGTGCAAACAACACGACACCACATATATACGGGTTATGCTCGTTTCGAACGTGATGTGAAACCAGAATGAAAATTTCCTCTCCGGAAATCTGCGCATTACGATTTAAAATGCGAAAAGTGGATTTGTCATTGTCGTTAAGTTTGAAATAGATTTTTATAAATGTTAAGTAATAAAATGATTTAAGAAGGTGAAAAGTTACCACTTTAAAAGCTTTATACGGATAATTAGGGATGATTTAATAACCGAGACCCTTAAATATCTTTTAAGGATCTCTCTTTAGAGTAAAGTAATTAGTTTTCATGGGTTGGCTCACTTTTAAAATCCTTAAGAATTTCAACGAAGGAAACTTAACAAATGAAATATCCCATTTCTCATTAATTGAATTTCACCTCGTCCCGGAAGGGATAAAGGGAATTAGTGGAGAAGGTTAAATCGAACGCCGAATTCCCTCATCCTCTCATAAGTCTCATCCAATGTAAAATTAGACACGAAATCAATTAATCATTCCAATTACCAGTAATAATAACTTAATCATTACGTCAATTTTTTTTCGTTTAAACTTCGTTAACTCTAATTATCTGAGATATATAATAAAAAAAATCTTTGAGTTCATAAATTGCCACGATACGTCTCTGAAACAGTGTGAATTGCGTAATTTGCAGCTATTAAAGTTGTGATCATATGGCATGTTAGAATGTATTTATAAACTGTTTAGTTTAGTTTTGCCTACTTGCGTGAGCTGTGGAAACCCGAAGCGTGTGTGTTTACACAAGTTACACTCAACATGAGTCGATTTTGTACTAGATTGTAAAATACACCTAATTGCATTTGGACAAATACTATTTGCTTTTAATTGCAATTGTAATGTCAAAAACGTCAATTTTGAAGTTTTCTTACCACTGATATCAGAAAAAAGCTTTTACTAGTCATTTCTTAGTGTAATTTCGATTATCCTTCATACACAAAACTTGTTTTCATCAGTTTTATTTTTCAATAAAGACGCAATTTAATATCAAAAACGTCAACCTTGGATATTTGCAGGATATTGAGGTGCTTATAAAGTCTGATAAGTTAGGGATTATCGCTGATCGAAGTAAATCGTGTATACTATTCGTTTTTTAAATTAATTTGGAACATTTTTTATTCATAAAGTTTCTTTCCATCGATTTTAACTTTTGACTGAGAATCAGTTTTAACATTAAAATCGTCAAATTAAAAGTGTTACGATTTATATCTTATTGTAGGTCTTGGGGGTTATTGTAAGGCTTATTAGATCCTAACATCCACCAAGTGTTCCGGTTTGATTAGCCCCATAATGAGCCCATACCCGTCGTTTCACGAGAATGAGGGGTTCCCGGAAACGATAATTACGCCAGTTGCTGCAAATCTCCATGTTAAAGGATATACGTAGTCAACACAAACTTGTTTTTTTAGCCCAACAAAATGGATTGAGGCTATAAGAAGATACCAAATATTTCTCTTAATACTTAAAAATATTCGCTAGATATGGTTGAAGCTTTATCTGTCTATGATTTATCAACAATCCTGTACATCATGACTTTGAATATCGCTTGTTATATATTATCAATTTTAATTAAAAATAGATTGGTTCGAATTTCGAATATAGCGGCACTTGAAACGATTACGCATAAATTAAGTGCGTTGCAATAAGCGATTTAACTGATAATTTAAATATTATCGAAAGAAAAAATAGACATAAAATTTTAATATAGCAAAAACTCCAAACCACGATGTAGTTGTTTCTTAAAAGGCACAGCGCAGGAAAGGGGATTTCACAATACTACATACTCTATAATTGAGCGGAAAAGCTGAGTGTGCGAGTAGAGCAATAATGGAAAAGGCGAGAGCTTAATGAATCATTTATTGAAAAAACCTTCCTTTTGCACTGAATATCTCCTAAATCTAAAACTAAAGTTTTCCCAGCTAGTCCTCTGTATATGTAATTTAGTGTTTCAAAGATATCAATTTCAAAGTTAATTCCATATCATCTTATTTTTACATCATTTCTAATTTCATTCTTGATTGCGCTCGAATCTATTGACAAATATGTCAAAATGTTTTCATCTTTTTTATAACCCACAAAAAAAATCTTTCGTTCAGCATAAAAACATATATTTAAATGAAGAGAATCGGTTATATGCACCGTGTAAATGTTATAGAAAAATATTTTCTTGTCCGCTTAGGAAAGTATAAAACGATGAGAGAAGTTCCCCAATTTGTGAATGCTGCTGCCGTTGAAAGAGCTCGTCATCGTGTAAAAGTGCTCGTAGCTAACTGCATGATGTTAGGAACCGCAATCGCTTGTTATTTCGTCGCAAAAAGTGGGAAAGCGGCTCAAGCAAGAGGAGAATCACTTCAACAACGAAGTATGGATTGGCATAAACAATTAAAGGAGGAATATAAAACGGAACAGCGAAATAAACTGCCAGAATTATAATCGATTTCTTCAAATTGTTGCTTTTAATGAATAAAGTACTGTTAGAATCTTAATTTTTTTTTTGGAAGAAAATCGATTAATTAGATGCGAAAAGAACGGCTTTTAACAAAAACCGTTAAAAATTCATGAGATTCATTTTGAGAAGATTTTTTTGTTATCTATTTTCAATTGAGGTGCTTATAAAAATGGTAATTTTCATATTTTCTGGTTTAATGGACAATTTTTTAGGAAAATAAATTTAATAAAATCAAAATTGAACAAAGAAATCGTTTTAAAAACGTCAAGTATTAATTTGGTGACAAAAATCAATTATAAACGGGATAATGATGAAGAATAAACAATACCCATTAATAGGAAATCAATAAACTAATTAGTGTTTGGCTAATAGTACAATTTTAACCACATCATATGAAGTAACGTACGAATTCACCGGTTTTTGTATCAAAACCAGTATCCAATTACTTAATTGTAGAAAATTTAATTTTCATTCCGTTACATTAATTGAAATTTAATTGGAATTGCATAATTATTGTTCATGATTTCGGCATCATTAATTTATTTTAGTTAATAATTTTGTATCAAATATTAATTGTTTTTGGGATGTTCTATTTCGTTGGAAATGATTTAAAAATGTAATGATGGTTGCCTAAAAGTAGTTATTCGAGTAAAATATCAATTTGATGACTGATAAAAACGATTTTTAATGATTTTGTAATTAAATCGTTCTAAATACGTTATTATTAATTACAAGTAAAATAATTAATAACGAAATAATAAGTAGTAATTAAATATATAATGATGTGATAGTTTGGAAATTGTCCAAGGGATGATTACAACCACGTAAGCGAAGGGTCAAACCCACCAAAATTGCTTGAAACAACTTTGGAAACCACAGCATAACTGCGTGACTTAACAAACTTCCCATGGATTAAACATAAGATATTTACCAACGACGATCCATTAATATTAATTTGTTCTGGAGTTCTGTATGAACCCAATACAAAATAATTTAATTTAAAAAGTTTCTCGATTCTATTTTTCCTTTAATATCGTAGTCTTTTAAAAGAAAAAAGAACAGTATTTGAAGCTAGAAATAGCCCACATATTTGTGTTTGACTATCCTCCTGAATAATATTTAAATTGCATACCATGGGCATTGGGGAGCTGGCTCTTCTAGTAAAAGTATGCACGAAATTTAAAAGGCAATTTTTAGAAAGCTATTAAATGTAGATAATCTTTTTAATAGAATAAAAATTCCATCGTTAGAGAGATTCGAGCTTCCAAATGCATGTAACGGTCAAGTAACAAGTAATTTCAAACTGAATCGTAGTCTGTCAATGTCCATAAACGAATGGTTTCGCGTCAGTCATCAAGGGTCTCATACAAATTTCAACGTTAGGTACCTGTGTAGTAGTTGGACACACCTACCTTCCTCTTTGATCTGGCTATCCGTTGATCACGACAGTTCTCAGCTTCCCCCGGAACCCTGTGACACCAAATAACGGCCGCTATGCTCGTGTAAGCGAAAATGAACACCGATACCGGAATCACGTATTGGAAAAGTGTCAAACTTTGTGAATACCAGTATTGTCCATCCTCAAACGGCCATTTTTCTGTGCAGATGTATCTGAAAAAAAATTTTAAAAAATTTAAAATTTATCTAATAGGAAGGGAACAAATTTAACTTCCAAATTCGTTTTGCATTTTGTATTGCCACTTTTAGGCGAATAACTTAAAACTTGCGCAATTAGTTGATTTCATCATAAGTTTCATCTAGGGACAATTCTATTAAAGCATATTTTTTATTAATGAATAAACATTAATTGGAATTTTTATTTTTCATAAAATATACAAGCGGCTTCAAGGGACCAAATTTACATCTAAATCAGATACGACACTAAGCATGTCTTTTCTTATTTTATTATTTACACCCTCTAGATGGCATCTAAAGCATGACTTCAGACTGTTTTGAAAACTGTTCCTGGCTTATTTAAATTGTAAATTTAGTGTTCCTTCGTGTCCATATCACGTTCATCTAGATAAATTAAAAGCGAACACGGAAATTCTAGATTCGTGTTAAACAAACATTGGGAATAGGGATATATTCGACCTAGAAAGGTCAATTGAGTCTAAAAAATCGTTTAAAATCCACTTTAGGATTACAAGAAGAAAGAAATTTATAAATTTTTGTAGATAATTCATCACATAACTCATTTTTCTTCTACAAATAAAAGTTGCGTGAATTTAAAATTGGACTATAAATCGTACGTCGAGAAAACAGTCTCAAAAGGTATTTTCAACGGGTTTTATTTTGGGTTGATGTATTTAAAGGGAATGATGTTCCACGGTTTTATATTAACCTTATTTTACTCCCTAACCCTTAAAGCCTATAAAATTTTTGAATAATATTAAAGGTCGCTATGTTCCTCTTGGGAGTCATAAAAACGTTAACTTCAATATACAAAGAAAAAATGAAAGGGGGTGCTTCTGCTATGAATAACAACATATAAAGTTTAAATGAAAAATGCCATTTTGAATAACTTTATATACAAGAAACTATTACAAAACATTAAACTTGGTTAGAAGAATAAATGCACCGTTTTTAAGTGATGTATTGATTTGAACGATGGTTATTGATTGGCAAATTGTGTGTTCAATAAACAAAGTATGAGCAACGTATTCGGATTACGTGGTGTATTATAACATGATATCGGGTGGATGGCACGTTCGCTATGTATTGATGTATAACTAAGTATTTACTATCGACCCTAATATCTTAATATGGATTCGAAAGCCCTCAAATGGATGAACGAGTTGGATGTTGCTTTAATCTCTGCTAAAAATAATGTTAATACAGAAACGAATGACAATTTCTAATGAATTTCCAAAGGAGTTGCTTCAATCTTTTCCCGTAAGCGTTCCTCAATTATTGTGTTTCAACTAATATCCATAGAGTTCTAGTACCTCTAGAAAAAGATACTGCAATCTGAGACTAGATACTGCTAACATAGGACTAGATATTGCGAATAGAATATTTGTTACTGATTACAGAAGATTAGATGTTGCTGACAGCAGACCAGATGCTCCAAATTGATTACTAGATATTAATAGAGAGCCATGTACTGAAGGTAAAAGATTAGATTACCGCTGGAAGATTAGCTTCTGCGTATAAAAGATTAGACACCGCTTGCAGAAAACTAGATATTGTGTGCAAAGGACTAGAAACTGCGGGCTGAAGATTAAATACGGCTAACAAAGGACGAAGGCGAATAGATTAGTTACTGATTACAGAAGATTAGATACCGCTGACAGAAGATTGGATACCACTGTCAGAAGACTAGATACTCTAAATTGAATGCTAGAGTTAATAGAAAACTATAGATCAGCTACAGCTTACAAAAGATCAAATACTGTTTGCAGAAGACTAAATACTGCTCACATAAGACTAAATACTATAGACAGAAAATAAGATACCACCAATGAAAAACCACATCCATCTTAGAAGATCAGGCACTGGTTCAAATATTATATCTTGTTTATATATTTATAGTTTTAATAAATTACAAACTAATTTAAAATATTCTTACCTGTCACACTGTTGAAAATAAGTATCGTTGGGTTGATCCATCGTCGAAACCATTAAAATAGGAGCTCCGCCCAAACATGAAAGTATCCAAACTGCGAAAATGATCCCCATAGCGATTTTCTTAGACATTCTCGGTCTTAACGGCCAAACGATCGCAACGTATCTATCCAAACTGATCGCGACTAAAGTGTAAGAACTTACGAAAACGGCGATGGCTTGGAAATAGGACACGATCAAACATAAAAACGACCCGAACGGCCAATATTGTTTCAAATAAGCTACAGAACTAAACGGCCCGCACAACATCGCTATCAAAAGGTCCCCAATCGCCAAATTCATAATGAAATAATTCGTTACCGTTCGCATTCGTGAGGATGATATAATTATGTAGCAAATTACACCATTTCCTAAAGCGGCCACCGAAGAAATCAAGAAGTAAATGAAGTAAATTAAGGCGTGGATGTGGACGTTTTCGTCATCTTCGTCGCAGGTAAAATTAGTAAAATTTGTTTCGTTCATTTTTAATGATTTTTTTTAATCTTCTTTGGAGAATATTTTAGTTTGGAGTTGTTTGTTATTAAAAGATTATCTGAAACAAATCAAATAAAATATTTCAAAACCTTTAAATCGAAATGTTTATATTTAAATCTTTATGTTTAAAGCTTTATGAAAATATGTTTTAAATTTAACGAGTGGCAGAATGACTGAAGTCAATTTATTTATACAATTGTATAACGCATTGCATTAATTTTTGTACCAGAAATGATCGCAAAATTGACAATGCGATTATTTTAAAACGTGATTGATTTCGGTTGAATGTTTACCAAGGTTAAAATTAAATAATTCAATTATAATTAAAATTATTCTAGTGATTTTATTCAAGGTGATATGAAACCACAACGAATATTTAAACTGCAATAACGTTGAATTAACATAGAGGTTCGGATTTTAATGGTAAGGGGTTATAATTAGATAAAGTCTTATCCTATCATGTTAAATATAAATTTGGGATAGTACACAACATCTAAACTACTAAATGGTACATACACAATCCCTAAATTATCGTTAAACTTAGTTTAAAACTTTTTATTTTATACACATTTCTGTATAATATATTTTTGTGTTTATCCTAATGATTATAGCTCTCTGCATATATGAATAATTATCTCGTAATGGGTTTTATAACAAACTCGTAATCTCTGTATTCTCACCCACGGAATATCGAGTTTTCTGCACTCTGAAACGCAGCACCCAGGAGTAACATTAATAAAATACTCGTTAAGACATAAATGAGAGGAGAAAAGCAACTTTAACAAAAAAAATGTACATAATTTAGGGGTGAAATTTAAGTAAAATGAAACTTTACTTTTAACTGAATGTTTCAGAATTTTTTTCCATTTCATTTGCGAATCCTAATCGATATAGAACTAAAAAGGCTGCTTTTAACTTCCTTTCATCAATGCTATAACTTTGCATAACACAAACTCCATAACGGTAAACAAGCGAAATTACAATGCTTAAAGTAACAATAGACCTCCCATTATATTTTTCGATCGAATAAGGTAATTTGATGGTGCACACTTTACGTCACATTGCATTTTTCCAAAAGGGGGTGGCGATTGATTTTCGTTGCAATATACACACTCCCTTTTGACGTAAGCCTTATTAGTCGGGTGCACTGTAACATGATTGATGGACAAATTGGCTACATCGTGTATCGACGCAAATAATATAGGGGAATAAATTGAATGGAAGAGTAAGAGGGGTTGAAAAGGTGAACTTTATAAAGTTAAATTTATTAACAAATAAAATTTCTGCGATTTTTTTTGAAGTAGAAAGTAAGATTTATTATTATTGTTATTATAGGAATCGGTTTATTTTTGCACCTGGAAAGTAAACGATTCACGCCCGAAAAACCTTGATAATATTTAATATTTACGAATTCTCTCTTCTTGGCTAACGTTTAGATTACCTTATAAATACACCGGCATCATGGGTATAATATTTCGAGGTCGTAAAACTCCCAGATTATTTTTTAATTTAATTCTACACACTTTCTCCCAAAAATGTTTTACATAATCTTATTTAAAAATTTATTAAAACTAATTAGGCTGATTAACTCAAAAATTTATGATGCTAATTTTGTACCAGAGATGCCATAATGCATAAATCAAGTTATTGGTGTAATTAGGATTTGATGCAGACTTCAAAAAACATAACGCAGATTTAATAAATAATCTCGGAATCAAATCAACGCATATTAGGATCTAAAGGGCAGCGTCACAAAGGAAGCCATAAAGACACCAAGAACACTTTGAGGAATAAACATCTATGATAATATTAATCTGTCAGAAACTTACAAACAATAAAACGGTAAAAGTGGCCCTAAATTATATCTATTCTATTAGTTCATTCAATCAAAAAAAATCCTACAAAGCTCTTAATCCTTGCTGGTTTTAATATCGAGATACTAATGAAAAGCAACGCAAAAGAAATGACATATATTATCACAGATGTGCTAGCGCAAATATTTGTTAAAATATAACGCGGGCCGTTTCAACCCAAAAAGGAAAAATACCATGATAGATGGAGTAATTAAAGTTGGAGAAATGATTAATACCTACTTTTATTTATTTATTAATTTTCCTCTTTTAATTTGGATTAAAAAAGGAATGGTATAAGATGGTATCAAAGAAAAATGATCTTGCGTTTTTTTGTAGGGTTAGAACGATAAGAAGTGATGTATTGCACTATAAATTTCGATCGTATGGTCGAAGGATCAATAATTAGCCTTCTATGCCACGCATTTCACGACCCTTTAACAACCAATAAAACGTCAACTTGTTTGAAATACCGTCCCATTATTTTAGTAATTAGTTCGGTTTTGCCCTGTCATTAATCCCTTTTTATCTCACATATTCGCCAGTTATTTTATTTAATAAAAATTTAATAATTTATTACTTATTATTTATCATTTCTGTTTACATAAAGTAGTAATACAAATATTGTATTATATTAAACAGGTGGTTTTATTACGTAAATTATAATTTATCTAACTAACATTCAATGTTGTAATTTATTACATCGCTTATGAAAGTTAAAACATACTTCTAATTACTTTACGAGGTTGTAATAATAATAATTTTTCGTAATAACGATAATAATAATCTTGATAAATGAAGAATCATTAAAACTTAATGGATTCGCTGCTTAATAAAATAAAAAAATAACGTTTCTTCTCTTTTTTTATTATCTTTGATGATGGGCTTCTCTGTGTTCTTTCGAATGATGCCCGTGAAACGTCGACTATAAAACTTACTCTCTCATAAACAAAAGGGAGGAAACGGTAAAGTTTGTTGATAATAAAAGAAAAAAATTGGGGGGAGATGATGGAAATAAGTTACTCGCTTTTTTAACGTTCCCGCGATGATTTGCGACGACGTCGTAAGGGTTTTTAAATCACCTAAATAATCCGATTGAAACCTTATTAACGTTTGAAATCAATAAAATTCCAATTTGAAGAACTATAAAAACGGTATCAATTTCTTTTATAAATTTTTTTAGGATTAAGAAATGATTAATGTTAAAGGGTGGAAAAGAATAGAACCCTCGTCAACCGAACTTAACACCGAAATATAATAACCCTTTTACAATCGGATTAGTAACGTTGTAATAAACGAAGCTCAAATGCGAACAGTAAAAAATGACCAAAAAACAAAGAGGTACGATTAAATACCTGAGGGTGTTATGCGGAACAACCCTCATCAAAATGTGTCAACGATCGAAATTGGAATGATTAATAATTGAAGCGGAAATTCGAAATGTAAGTTACAATTACAACTTGACACCTACACAAATATCTACTCGTATATGATTCGTTTTTATAAAAAAAATTAATAAATATACACAGGTTTAAAAAAAGGAACACCAACGATCACGCGCGAACTCACAAAGGGAAATTTTATGAGCATCATAAAGATTTAAAAGTTTACTTGCAAAAAATTGGATGTAAAAACTTCCGCTGTTATTATTTGCAAGCTCACAAAAAAAACTAATGATGTTAACAAACTGTCATTGATAGATTAAAATATAAAGACTGGCACAGAAATCCTGACGACTAAATCGTAATTGAGGCCAAACTACACTTGTAGCACTTATTCAAAAGCTATTTTGACACAGGCGCAGTTTTTGATCACCCAGTCTGCTATATCCAGAGTTCTTAAAAACTGGCGAACTTGGGGAGGCTTTGTGACGAAGAAACGTTCAAGAAAACCAATAGTTACCACTAGCTTCGAGCCACTAAGTATTAAATTGGTATTCACATAAAATTGTTACTAAGTACTCCAGAGTTTACAGCTTTTAGAAATATCTTGTGGTTTCACGATTGTTGGATTTGTTATTTTGATAAGTTATTTTGAATATAAAAACTGGTATGCGTTTGATGTTCAAAACATGTTCCAAAACACGTTCAAAGGCTTTTTAAGAAATTACATCTACATAAAAGTAGCCCAATGTATTAACCTCAGCCATTACGGCTTTTACTGTAGTCATCAAGCTTACCAATATTAGGATACAAAACTGAACCGATACAATCAACTCTAATTGATGCCAAATCTCTTTCTGAGACTGTTTTCGATAATATAAGATCCAATATGTGATAAACACAATATACAAGTTGGATGAGTCAGTATTTTAAATAATATTAAGTCACCTTCAGCGTTTAAATAAATCAGCAATAAATTAAATTTTCAAAATTTTGAAACAGAGTTTAAATTAATTAAATTTGGATGAGTTTCTGGACGTAACGTTGAAGTGTATTAATTACCGCAAATTTGAACACACTTAATGAAAGAGGAGGTGAGAGAAAAGCCATTTGCGAGGCGACGATTTTGAACTTTCCAAGGGGACGAGAGAAATTAACTGAAACTCATAAATTACGGTCGGCTTTTCAGGATGACTACTACTACTTATTTGCCGGACTATCGCGCGCATGGGAATGAAACCAGTTGTTGAAAATCAATTTCTCAAACTCAACCGAATCACAACAACCCCACAGTTTCGGTCCGCCGATGATTGACGCATTTCTAAAGTTAGAAATATCATTTATTACGACCCGAAGTCGGAACCGATCATTTTTAATTGTCAAGGAAAACTGTTAAATTGGTCATTTTTGATTCATTTTAGATTTATTTTAGTTTTATTTTAGATTTATTTTGTATTTTATTCTCACTTTACTTTAAAGCCCAACAAAACTACAAGAAGGTTGCGGATTAGATTCGAGAAAATACGATAAATCTAAAAGAAATGAAACACAAAGCAAAAGGGGGTAAACCCCAAAAAGAATGGGAGATCAATAATCCTTCACGGAGCTTACTTTCGGACGTAATAAGGGTATTTAATTAGGGTGGGTTAAATTCGTCTCGAGTGGTGGTTGACTATATTTAGGACTTCGCATTATGACAGATACGGCGATTAATTGCTCTTCCATGACCACGGAGAGAGCCTTGGACGTAGACTCAATCAACTCGCTTGTCGTTCTATGTTTGCCAATTAAACTCTAATTAATG